AAGAAGGGAACAAAGAAGATTAACTTTGAGTTATAATTGTTTTCAGGGCTTCTCAGGTCATCCTGTCTTAATCTAGAAGGACCAGATTCTGATATCCTTATGCTGGTACTATTGAGCCTGGGTAAGAATCTGGCCCTTACACTGTAAACTCTTTTGGGATGGAGTTTTGTGTCTTGTATAGGTCAGTCATAGGGTCAGCCCTTAAAAAATATAAATAATAATAAAGCAAAGATGGTTGCCAGTTTGAAGAATTTTGGGTAACAGGCTAAAGGGCACTAAAAAGAAATTTGTGTTGGCTTAGGTATCAGGATGCATTGCAGAAAGTTTTCCCATAGATGGAGTGACCAGGCAAACTGAGGGCTTTAGAGACTGATTCTAGGCACAGACATGAGGTACAGTGAGCCATGCAGAATAGGTCCAATAAAATCCTGGAATTAACTGATAACTTTTCTTTTTTCTCCTTATATTTAACTACACCTCTACCCCAATATAACACTGTCCTCAGGAGCCAAAAAATCTTACTGCGTTATAGGTGAAACCGCATTATATCGAACTTGCTTTGATCCGCTGGAGTGCGCAGCCCTGCCCCCCTGGAGCACTGCTTTACTGCGTTATATCCGAATTCGTGTTATATCGGGTTGTGTTATATCAGGGTAGAGATGTACTTTAGTTTCTGCCTGATTTTCTCATTGTGTTTTTGTTTGTTTGTTTTTCTTTTTTGGGTGGGAGATAATTCTAAAGAGATGCCGGTCGGAGCTTTCCTTGGGGAAAGGGTCCTGGAGCTGAACTCCTGCTCCTTCTACACGCTGTTCTCAGATCATGGTTACAATGCTCATAGAGGTAAATGTTTGCAGTAGAACAGTTGTTTGTGTGTGGCAGAGTAACTCCCTGTGTAGCCAGGAGCATGCAGGAGGAGAGGAGGAAAATACTGTTTTTTCTGAAAAACAATTAGACAATCTCTATGCTTCAGACATATTCTGTAGTTATAGTTTTGATGCCAGAGGGTGTAGTAAGTGGTTAAAAGAATTAGCATGAGGAAGGATGGCAGGGCCATTTAAGAATATGCTATTCAGGCATATACAGATTTTCCTTCTGGCAGTGGTCTTGAGGAAAGCTCTTGGCAACTTTAGACTTGTACATAATTTGTTCCATCCAGAAGGCAATCAGTTAATGATTATATAGACCCTTTGCTGTGCTCAGTATTATATGCTGCTTTTGATCAAGTGATACAGATAATTAGGACTTGCAATAACAGCTCAACTCATGGCAGAAACTGACCTAGAATCAGCATTTTGCCTGTTGCTTAAACACACAAATTATCTTTTCTATATTTGGAAGACAATATTTTTCTTGATCAGAGTATACCTAGAGCTTGTGCAGTTTCATGTTTGTTGTTTAAGTTCAATACATTCTGGAATGGGTGTTGAAGCAGAGGACCGGCAAAATCATTCCTCCAATAGTTAGATGACTTATTTTGTTTTTGGTTGAGAACTCGTCAAATACTATTACATGTCAGGAGTTACTAGTGGAATTGGGAAAGATTTCCAAAATGATTTGCAAATTATGATAGCAGATAAAAATCTGTGGTGAATAACTTTTGGGTGTTAAACTATATTATCAAGAATTATCTATTACTACTGAGGTTTCTTTGTATTCTCTTGCTACCAGGTAACAGCAAAGAATGTTACTAAGTATTCATACATTGCTTTGTGTACCTTGGACCATGTAGTGGGTAAAAATTTCTGAGGAGACTGGATCTACTGTGCTAAGCATAGCATTAGCTAAGCTTGATAGGACTAACACTAATGCTTTTCTGGGTATAGAAGTGTCTGACTCTTGGAATTCTGTTACCTCCCTCCCACCCCCTGCCCCCCCCAGATTTCTTGAAGATATGATCAAAATTAGAAAAGGTGCCATTTATATCAAGACCCTTTTTGATACAGCCTAGGTGATTTATTCGGATGAGCTGAACATGCTGTAGAACACAGCAAGATCAAAATCGCCTTTGTTATGAATGAATAATTTTATGTGATCCTCCTTGGGTTTTGATGACATATCTAGATAACTTATTGCTATATTCAGTAACCACACACAAGATGGAATGTGTAACTTTTGGTATTTAGCCATGCTGTGGGATCATAATATTTTATATAACTGAGGATGGAGTTACTTGAATTACTACAGTGAGACATGAGCTGGCTCCTTCAGCTGTGATTTTTCAAAACTACAATTGGGCATCCAAATCCCGTAGGCCACTTTGAAAAATGTCAGCAGTCACATACACCAACCTATTACCCTGCTGTTCCAGACCGAGCTTTATGGAGTGGATTGGCAAGGTCAAAAAGATGCTTAAAATATTTTGTTTTCAGTCTGAGGCTTTTTATGTATTCTAGAAATAAAAGTATCCTTTTGGCTTGCAGTAATATAGCAATATTTTTCATAAGTGGAATAAGGTATTGTAGTTTGCTAAATTTAAGAACAAAGTCAGACGTGGGTGTGCTGTGAGTTGAGAATTCATGGTGCTGCACATGTCCTTGTAAAACTGTATACGAAGAGAACGTAAGAATGGCCATACTGGGTCAGACCAGTGGTCCAGTATCCTGTCTTTCAACAATGGCCAATGCCAGGTGCTTCAGAGGGAATGAGCAGAACAGGTAATCATCAAGTGATCCATCCCCTGTCTCCCATTCGCAGCTTCTGGCAAACAGAGGCTAGGGACACTTCAGAGCATGGTTTTGTGTCCCTGTCCATCCTGGCTAATAGCCATTGATGGGCTTATCCTTCATGAACTTATCTAGTTCTTTTTTGAACACTGTTATAGTCTTGGGTTCCACAGATTGACTGCACGCTGTGTGAAGATATACTTCCTTTTGTTTTTGTTTTTTAAACCTGCTGCCTATTAAAGAGATGACAAGAGTTAATATTGTATGATTATTAGGGCTGTCAAGTGATTGAAAAAAATTAATTGTGATTAATCGCGCGATGAAAAAAATTAATCGCGATTAATCATGCTGTTAATAGAATACCATTTTAAAAATATTTTTGGATGTTTTCTACATTTTCAAATATGTTAATTTCAATGTGTACAGTGCTCACTTTATATTTTTGATTACAAATATTTGCACAATAAAAAGCAAAAGATAGTATTTTTCAATTCACCTAATACAAATACTGTAGTGCCATATTTTTATCATGAAAGTTGAACTTACAAATGTAGAATTATGTACAAAAAAATAAATGCATTGAAAAATAAAACAATGTAAAACTTTAGAGCCTACAAGTCCACTCAGTCCTACTTCTTGTTCAGCCAATCGCTCAGACAAACAAATTTGTTTACATTTGCAGGAGATAATGCTGCCTGCTTGTTTACAATGTCACCTGGAATCCCACCCCCTAGACAAACCCCTCTGCTCCCTGTCCCCTGACGGCCCTGACCCCTATCCACACCCCCGCCCCTTGACAGGCCCCCCGGGACTCGCATGCTTATCCAACCCCACCCCCCGTCCCTTGACTGCCCCCCAGAACCTCCACCCCATCCAACTGCTCCCTGTCCCTTGGGACCCCCCGCCCCTTATGCAACCCCCAAGCCCCGGCCCCCTTACCATGCCGCTCAGAGCAGTATGTCCGGCCACTGTGCTGCCCAGCCGGAGCCAGACATGCTGCCGCGCTGCTCGGCAGGAGCGCACAACCCCGTGGCCCTGAGTGCTGCCGGCGTGGCTGCGGGGGAGGGAAACTATTTCTTTTGTTTGTCGTTTTTACAATGCAAATATTTGTAATCAAAAGAAATATAAAATGAGCACTTTGTATTCTGTGTTTGTAATTGAAATCAATATATTTGAAAATGTAGAAAAACATCCAAAAATATTTTTAAAATTTCAGCTGGTATTCTATTGTTTAACAGTGCGATTAAAACTGTGATTTATGCGATTGTTTTTAATTACAATTTTTAAAAATTCAATTGCATAACTGCGATTAATCGCCGTTATTCATTATATAACACTGAATAACTGATTATATAACCAAAAATTATTTAACTCATATTAGCGATTAAGAAGATTACCTGGTTTTCCAGAATGGGAATGTTTATTTAAGAACACCCATCTCTATTAGTAACAGCATGATTTAAAGAAATTTATCATAAATAGAAGATTACTGGGGTTTAGTAGAAATTATGTACATCAGCAAATCATGAGAGAATTTGTTTCTCTTTTCCCCTCCCCCCACCCCAGTGCACGGGTTCCCAAACTTGGTTCACAGCTTGTTGAGGGTACGCCCCTGGCGGGCTGCGAGATACTTTGTTTATCTGAGCGTCCACGGTACGGCCACTCGCAGCTCCCAGTGGCCGCGGTTCGCTGTTCCCGGCCAATGGGAACTGCGGGAAACACGAGCGGCCGTACCTCCGGACGCTCAGGTAAACAAAGCGTCTCGCAGCCCGCCGGGGGCTTACCCTGAACAAGCCGCGAACCAAGTTTGGGAACCCCTACCCCAGTACAAACTAAAATTCATATGGTGCATGGCATTTATTTTTTTAATATATTCACCATCTTACCCATTCAGATGCCTTTCACTACATTCAGTAAGTTACAAATCGAAAGGTTGAGCAAGTAGGCTTGAAGCTGTCATAGGTAGATTATTGAAATATAAATGAGGATGAGCTCTTATCTTACTGTTACTTTCTAAGTAACTGTACTTGTGTAATTTCTGACCTGGAGTATGTTACCATTTGGTCCAAGACTCAAGATGTTCCTTCAGTCTCTAAATATATTTTTTCCCAATATTGTACGTATTATAACACTGAGTCTTGTATTCTATACGTCAGCCTGAGGTTTTTGTCTTTTTTATGATGATGATGATGATGATGATTTATTATTATTATTTTGGAAGGGTAGAGGAGGGGCACGGTAGGGGGAGGGGGCATAGTGTTTTGAAAATGCTTCCCCAGAGATCCTAAGTGGAAGCCATCGGAGTCATTTTGAACTTCTTTCTCGCTTCTTCTATAGGGCCCCTCGGTTTAAAGGGTTTCAACAGCAGGATAGCCAAGAGCTTCTCCACTATTTGTTGGATGCAATGAGAATAGAAGAAACAAAGGTAAAATCTATGTATATTTTCAGTGAACTAGCTCGAATTGACTGTAGATCAGATGTCACCTTTTCACACACTTTGTTTTCTCTGTTTAAAATATACATAATGAAATGACTACTAAGGCTTGTTTCCACTATTTTTCAAAAAAGCAACTTGATTATTACATTTTCATTGTGGTATTTTAAATTTGTTGATCTGGCTACAGATTTCAGTTGATTGTTGAAGGGGATATCATAAATAGTGGTTGTTATAATTTTACAGTGACTTTGGAAGCACCATTTTAGGAGACCGATTCATCTGTAGTTATTAAAAAATATACTTTTAAAGTGGTAGGGTAAAAGTCATCTCCCTAACTCATTTGGTAAAATCTGCTTCAGGATAAAGCTTCATATACTGCCCCACATCCAGGGAGCAATTAGTTTGTTATAAAACTTCACTAAAACCAATTTGACTGGAAAAAAATTAAAGCAAAAATATTATCCAAGTTTCTAATGTCTTTTAGCAATGTTCTAAGTGAAGAAAAAATGCTTGTTTTACAGATGAAATTGTACTTCCCATTACTTAACAAATCTAGATCAAGTACTAAATATATATACATAAAGAAAGCTTTTTATATAAAAAAGATATCTATACACATTTAGTATTTATTTTCTTCATTTCTGCCCCTTACTTCCCTGTTTCCAGAAGTGCAGTTTTGAACCATAATACATCTGATCTGATTTGTTTGACATCTCAGGTTCATCACTGTTTTGCCTCTTTCTGACTCAGAGGAAAAGGTCTTTCTTCAGGTGTAATAGAAAATAGACTTTTCCCAAAGGAGGCACTTTACTATAGTAGTAATCATTCAATATAGCCCTTCTTCCATCCCAAGCAAAGTTTACTTGTCTAGTATCTGTAATGTACCTATACTGAATTATCATGGACATGAGATCTGAAGCCACTCCTGTACCCGGGTCTCTGGCACAATAGAGCCATTGAGCCATCGCCACATAACAGCTCTATGATGCAGTATTTTTATGTATTTTGGACTTCATGGAACTATTTTTTTGCCAAATGGCACATCTGGTCATCAGTCAGTCCATATTTTAATTGACTGAATAAAGTCTATAGACATTACTATTATAGCTTATAATGTACAACAAGATTATGCAGTGACAGTATCTATAAATAAGCTGCAAAAGTGGTTAGCATGAATTGTGGAAATGCATTGCTAACATCAACTCAAACCCAGTTTAATAATAACAAGCTCCTTGTTGCAAACCTGAAAACTTAGTTCATGTAAACAATAGGCTGCATCATAAAAATAGTGAACTATGGAGAAGCTTTTCTCAGTCCTGACATTATAATGTCATAAAATGACCCATTGAGCAAAACTATAAGGACAGCTGTTTTTTATTTCTTTTAATTTAAGGGGGAAAAAAGAGTTTTCAGAGTGTTGTAGTGATGGCGTTACTGTGCTGTTCCTATTGACTTTAATGGGGTAGAGTGGTTTAAACCCTATTTACTGTACTACCTATAAGAATATAGGTTTAACAGTAAAAGCAAGGGAATGCTTACTTAAACTAATATTCTGACACTCCTCCCTCTCCCCATAATGAACAGATTAACAAAAATGACAGCATAAACTCCAGTGCCACCAGTGAACATGGCAGCGTCATTAGGTCTTAGCGTGTATTTTTTATTTGTCCTATTAATAGTTTCATTAGAGAGTAATGGTGGCTGCTGTTATCACCATAATAGAACATGTTGAGGAATATTTTCTTTATACATTAGGTTGTACAGTATTTCTGCCATCTCTGTCATTGGGTAAGTGAAGGTTGGTCCCACCTTTTACAGCACTTAAACCCCTGTTTTGCCATAATGGTGCATTACTATTAACAGTGACTTTGTCACCTCAGGCTGTGCAGTAAGGGACATTACTAGTAAAAGCTCATTTTTCTCCCCCTTTCTTTTTCGGGTCTATAAATGGTATGACAAACTGAGAATGTCAGATCTGTGGATCTATTCAATCTTGTGAGCAATGACAGTTGTGCCAGTCAGATACAAGCAGTAGCAGCATTGTCTGTCATGGGAACTGCACAGCTGTTAATCGTGCTATTGTTATGGAGTGTCACTACCATGTGTTTTTTGATTGAAGAAAGCCTACAGCAATATGTCTGCCACCAGAATCCTTTAGAAATGATTATAGCCACTAACCTTCCTCTTTCATGCTGCCTTTAAATGTTTGCTTTTGAGTGTAAAGTTTCGGTAACAGCCCTGATAAAATAGCGGCTAACCACTTCAGTGTACCTGTGATAAACCTTCTGTTTAGTTGAGCAGTCTAATTGGCACTTCTCTTACAAATTCTGATTAATTTTTTCAATCAAAGCTATTTGGTCCTTTAAAATATATCTACTGTATTCAAATAGGTGAGTGCAATCTCAAAATGCTTTTATAGCGCTACATAAATTACCTTTTCACTGTGCTTTTAATTTGTTTTTATAACCTATAAAACAGTTCTTCTACAGCGCCTTGAGGTTTTGTCTCCAATTTCTGGGCTTTCTGAAACAATATTGCATTATTTGGAATCCTGTTTTTATTTTTTTCTGTATCCTTCTGAAAATACATTAATCTATAAAAGTGGACCTTTAAAATAAAAGTCTGTCAATACCACAATCCAAATTACACACTGTCTGCTGTTTCCAGCGATGTGTGCTGGAGATTGTTTCACACCAGGGTTTGAAGTAGCTGATCCCTGCTGCTAATTGATTAATGTCTGCTGCCATTGTTAGTAGCACCCTGACCATTCAAAGACTATGTCTTTCTTTGACCTAAATAAATGGTTCAACGCACTAATCCCAACAAAAGGGGTTGCTTATGGCCCTAAACCCATTTATGGTATTCAACTTGGTGAATTACGTATTGATTAGACCTTTTAGTATATTGTTGGCTTTAAGATGAACAAAGCGGAGCTTGGGGCATCCGGACTTAATTCACAAGCCAGGTCACATACTCATAAGGTAGAAGTATGACTAATCTGTGGGTAGATAGATGAACTGGAAATCGAACCTCAAAAGCTATCCTTCATCATAGCATTTCCCAGGACATATGGTTTGAGTGGGACATGACATGACATGACAATTTATACCATCTCAAATTTTAATATATATTTTATACTTTAGAACTATGTTGTAAAAGTGATGATTATTTGTTAGTAGGTCTGCTATGGACTACATACACAACTTTTGTAGCATCACAGCTCGTTTCTGTTTGTGACTTCCATGTGCCATTTAACAAATATAGTAATACAGTAGAACTTTGCTACTTTTCACTAATGAAATGGAAACCCATTACATATTACTGAAGACTGTGAATAAGTACTTTTAAAAAGGGAGGAAAATAAAAACAGGGACATATGGATAATGCATCCAAAAATGTACTCTGGTCCTGTATTTGAGAGTATTGTTTAGTTTAATTATTTATGCTATTCCACAGCATACTGGGGAAAAGTTAGTTATATATTCTGTAGAAATATTGAAGCCTTAGTAATATGAGATCTCACTATGGTAACTGCTGTTAATTTTTTGCTGAGAAGTGGGCAAAACTTGCTATTTTTATGTGCAAGCTATAGGTACAAGTAATATAATTCTGTTGGATGCTATTTAGATGCAGTTCGCCGCCTCCAAAAATATATTTTTAGGGTTCTACATTCTCTTCAGTACATTCAGATAATCCTTATATGGGTTAATGGGAGTTTTCTGTACACACATTGATGTGTGACTAAAGGTTGTATTGACTAGCAAATAAAATTTAAACCTACTACTCTCTAAATAGAGTAATTGAAGCATGGTTAAAGATATTTAGCAAATTTTACACATTTATATTCCAGTCAGTCACTGCACTACAAAGCAATTTATTATTTTCTTTCCTAGCAATGTTCACTTCATAATCCACAATTTCTAGATAAATTCACTACCTACCTAAAATTTGCCCTTTTTGTGAGGAAAAATGCTTGATGTAGTTAAAGCTAGAGTTATATAAACTTGTGTAGTTTTCTGGAAATAACCAAAAATTGTTTCTAACAGTCTGTCAGTGTTTTTAGAGTGCCTATCACCCACTGAAAATACTTATTAAATATTTGTGTTTATATTTATAGCGTATACAAGCTGGTATCTTAAAAGCATTCAACAATCCAACAACTAAAACTGCAGATGAGGAAACTAAAAGAAAAGTTAAAGGTATGTTATTCTTTAATACAATATTGTCTTGTTATTTATAGTGATTTATTTTTAAGTTCTTTTTAGCAAATGAATCACTATAATATTATAATATAAATTAAAATATAATTTTCAAAATTGACTGCCTTGAAGTATTGTAGATGGTTTTATAAGGCTTTTATTATGTGTTATTCTGGTGCCATCTAGTGCACATGTAAAGTATCGAAGTGTTATGTACTAATCTGTTTCCAGTATCTAGAATAAAGGCTTTCTTTTGTTAATTACTGTCATATAGGCGTGTAAAACTTTTACTTAAATATTCTGCTGCATCTTCAGATCTTTCATTAAGGCCACAACTATTGCATCACTCATAAAGAGACCACCTTAAATGCATTGTTGATTAAATTGCCACAAGGTTGCTGACGACATAAGTGTGTTGAGAATAACAACACAAAAATAAGATAAATTATTTGAATCAGGGCAGTATTGTCTAAACCTCAGTCTTTTATTTGCATAATACTTTAACTTTCTGTGTACAGCAAGCAATTAGCTTAATTAAAATTCCAATGGTATTGTAATTGTTCTGAAAAATTAAGTTAATCCTTGCCAAACCTGTAGTAATTTGATCTTGATAATGTATTACAAATCTATTGAACAGGTTTTGGTTTTGAGTTGTACAGTTTTTTAGAAGCTATTTGTCATTTAGAAAATCAACCAGCAGGTCTCCTGCCTAAATGCCTGCTACAGTGCAATAGAATATTATATCAATAGGACTTATGACTTGCATTGTGTATTAAAATAAAAAACCTTTCTTAAAAGGAGTTGCAGCATTATTCTGTTACTGAAGGAGGAGGGGGAGGGAGAGGGAGAAACTGAATTCTGTATTTCTAAGCATTGACAAATATTAAAGTAAATGATATATTTTATTGAATTAATTTCTTTAGTGGTAGGAAATATTTTGAACCTATTCCTACATTGTACTATGTGTGTTCCGAATAAACCATAGAAAGAATTACATTGTACTTATACAGTGGCATTGGATCTGTTTTTTTCACATTAAAAAAGGTAATGTTTTTTCAGCATATGGAAGAGAGGGTGTGAAGATGAACTTCATAGATAGGATCTTTGTTGGTGAATTGACTAGCACTGTCATGTGTGAGGAATGTGAAAATGTAGGTATTTTGGAATTCAGCTCGATGTGGAATAGAAATGTATTGTCATTTTTATACTATTTATTTGTAAAAAGATTTTATTGAAGGCTGCTTATTAAAAAGGACTATTTTGTCCTTAAAATATTATCCTTTCCACTCATACAAAGGAGTCATGTGACTCGGAAAAGATTTAAATGCTTTAATTTGTTTGTGTCTAGCTAATCTTGGGCTGGAGGTTCCAAATTCTACAATAGTTTGGGAAATACTGATCATGTATTTAATGCAGCATTTCCCAGATTTTTGAAAACTGGGCCCCGCTTCGGGAAAATGAAACCAGTCCACCCTCCCTGCCCCTGCAACTCTGTCATGTGTTGTTAAAGTCCTCCCCATCTTAATGTATCCATTTTTCTTGCCCCCTTTGGGACATGGACCACACTTTGGGAAATGTTGATTTGATTAATGGGAGTGGGGAAAATATATTTAATCAGATTATGGAATTGATATTGATCTAAATGGTCTCTTCTTGAAATACTTTTAGTAGTTAACTTGATATTTTTATTAAACAATATATAACTTTAGTAACTTAGTATTGATCAACATTTTATCAAAAATAAGTAATTTCCATAATCGTTAGAATTTCCTTTAGAGTCAAAAGGATGAAAAGTTTATTATTTTGATAAATTTTCATGAATTATTGAATGTTGCATTTATATTTGGTTTACAATATTATATTTCATATTATAGACATATAATAAACCCTTTCAGTCTGAATAATTAATCACAGTTCTGCAGTGCCTGGTAATCTTCCCCTTGTGTAAAGTGCAGAATATAATTTTAATATGTCACTGGTATCAATGAAGAACTTTATCTGCATACAACTTAGAAAGGTTAGAAGTTATATGTACCATATTACTGTTGCTTAGTCTGCACAGGAATCAGGAATTTGCTGGCTACAACCACATCAAAACAAGGTTCCAGCTCAGTTTCCTTTATCAGCGTTGATAGGGATTTTTTTGTCTAGCACTATGTAGATAAAGTCCAACTCTCTGTAATTCTAGCATACCTTTTTATTATGGTTTTCAGGAAGCAAAACATAATTTTGGAATAAATTAGGGTATTTTTAAACACCCTATAAAGTTTTTCCATAGATTGGCTTTAATTTAACTACTAGTACCACTCTAAGTGTAGATGTGTGACCCAAGAAATTCATATAATAGCTTTTTAGCTTTAGCGAATGAACCAGTTTCATGATTTAACCCATTTTGGGGTACATCACTTCAGATATGTCTAGGCAGAATCCTGTCATTTTACCCGCTTGTTGAGTAAATGACAATTATATCAATAATTGTATTCATGAACAGTGCAAAAGCTCAAACATTTCTGCATAGGGTCAAAAGATTCCAAGTTTCCCTTCAGCGTTTACTCTGCAGTTTTCCATTGGGTTTGCACCCTCTGCCTGCAGAAGAAATTGGTAATCCAACCACAAACACCACGTCCTCCAACATCTGCATAGATCTGAGATCCGCCAGCTATCACGTGATTCCTGTGGCTCACTGCCTGTTCCCTTGTGCCATGTTGCTGTTCAAGCCATGCTGCCAGTGACTCCCCATCCAGGATCTGTCTCTGGGACTTCCCTTTCAAAGGGTTTCCCTATCTTTTTAGTTTGCTCTAGGTTCTGGGATGGGGACAGTATGCAGCTCCCCTGCTTACCTCCTGCCCTCTCATGTATTGCTACACACCCTTAGAGAGCCTGTGCAGGTAAGGGAATACTTAGTGGCAACTGACATGGAGGATAGGTCCTTCAATGGCTATTAGCCAGGATGGTCAAGGATGCAGCCCCATGCTCTGGGTATCCCTAAGCCTGTAGGACTGGACGACGAGATGGATCACTTGATAATTGCCCTGTTCTGTTCATTCCCTCTGGAGCATCTGGCACCAGCCACTGTCAGAAGATAGTGGCTTGGGTTGGATGGACCATTGGGCTGACACAGTAGGGCCGTTCTTATGACACTCTTTGAGTGGGAAGGGAAGGTCTCTTCTGTGTATGGATCACAGGGATATATATGACCTTGTCCAGTGTTTTTATACACTGAAATTTGACATTGCATTCTCCAATACTTACTGACCCAAAATAAAATCACAGTTAGCTTTAAGTAAATATTTAGTACAAGGATTGTAGAAAGTTCTTCATTCTAATTAAAAAGATCTTGCACCTGAGCTTTTGTATAGTTTTTTTCCTACTATAATAGAAACATGGAGACTTCATGCTAGAACTCTAATACAGTTCTTTGTATTTAATTGTCTTTTCCTCCAAGATTTCCACAGTAAAGGAACCTTTCATTGATCTTTCACTCCCTATAATAGAGGAGCGGGTAAGAAACAAATCAAATATTTAATAAATAATCACAGCTTCTGCTGGAGTATGTTTTTACACATCTGTATAAAAATGTGTGTATAGAAATGTATAGATACACATTGTTTTGCTTTAATAACCTTAGTGTGTGTATGTATGTAATATATTATGTAATTTGTATATGTATATACAAAAAATATGTACAGTGTCTGTATCTGTATATTAAATTAGCCTAAATGTAGAACAATTCATAAATAGTCATATGTTTAGTTTTATAATACTTTGTGTACATATACCCATACACGTTCAAACAGATTATTGTTAAATTAGACTAAATGCAAACCAATTTCAGGGTACTTAGAAGCTTTTGAAAAGTCAATTCCCAATCTGTTGCTTTCTATATCTAAAGAAATGACTAAAGTAGTATTTAAATGCTCAGAGATTTACCTGCAACTCTCACTGAAGGCTAACAAAGTGATGAGGTAATGTAAAAATTGGTTCACTGTGAATATCATTGTTCCAAGTTATTTTAGAACATTATTTTGAATGTAATGATTAGCACAGAGTTTTATAAGCTCTCTTCATTAATTGGAAGAAAGTCTTGGGTTTTTGTTTTTGTTTTAAGTATCCTTCTTAGCAGCTCCACTGTAGATTCACATGTAGGCTGAAGAGAGCATTTAATAACTTACGTAAAAAAGGAACTGATGGTTGGAGGCTGGAACACAATTGTTTGTTTGTTTGTTTGATCCTTGTTGTTACAAATTTCACCCTTCTGCATCTGTGGAGTCAGTGGTCTTCCAAGAGAATTCTCTCTGGGGGAAAGACAGGCAGTTTTTTCACCACCACTGTTCCCCAGTGGTTCTACTAGGGAAAGGCAGTTTTAACTTGTGTTTGAGGATTACTGAGAATGAGTGGAATTGGTGCCTCTTTGATCATATTGTTTTCCTGGGAATGGAAGTTCCCATTTTTATATCTGCAGACCCTTGGGTGTCAATGCAGTTTTCCCAGGTATAGTAGGTTATGTTCTATAAACTTAGAAAGCAGTTGTGTATCACAAGTCAGAGGCCAGTTAACCAAAGAATGTGGCTTTATTTAGACTAGTACTAAATAAAAGTGCAACTAAGATATGAGAGCTCTCTCAGTTTCATGGGACCAACATGGCTACGCACTGCAAACAACTGAGAAACTTGCATTTAGTTATTTTATGGGTACAAGGAAAATGGGATTTTATATAATTTCTTTCCTAAATCACAATATTTTATTTCTCAGGTCTCAAAACCCGTGCCTTTGGGAAAGACAAGTAAATGTAAAAACATACAAGAAGCAGATCTTGGTCAGTTCAACTGCTCTGCTATTACTGCGCCAAATAATCAACAACCAAAAATCACCAGGAGACACTCTTTAACAAAAGATAAGGTTAGAATGTAACAGCATTGCTGGCCCACTTTATATTCAAACCCTGTTAGAATGTTTCAGGTAACAAAGTAGAATTCTAGTGTGCAATGAATGGGAGGCTTAAAAAAATCAACTTCAAATTGATCTGCTGCATATTTACTTCTAGATTTATAGATGTTGGAATTTTTAAAGTTCATATTTTTAAATAGCTAAATTACAGATTTATAAAAATATAGAGAACATTATATGCATGAAAAAATCAGTGACTGGGATGCCATGTGGTTTGAAAATATGGCTTCATTTGTAAAAGTGATCTTTTCTCTAGATTTAGTTTTTAATTCACTTGACTTCGTTTTGTTGGCCTCCCGCCTCGTGCTATCCTCCAAGTTTGCTTCTGGCTGAAATCACAGGCGTGGTAATGCTGGCAAAGAGAGCAGGCAAGTCAGCATTAGTGCCATTTGGTGGATCAGTTGGCAGGGTGTGCTACAAGAGTAGTACAGCCAACACAGTCCCCCTGGAGACTGAGAATATGGCTTCTATGATGCACTCAGCCTCCAGTTGCCCAAAGGCTTGGGAATCACAGTTCAGCCCCTTAACATGGTCCTTCTTGATGGTGGCACAACATTCTGAAGACCTGCCAAACTAACAAAAATGTTCATTAACACTGAAGCTCCTTCCTTTGTCATGCTCTGTTCTATAGTATTTCACAAGAAAGCATTTTCTTTTTAAAAATTTCAGAGCTCTGCAGAGGAAAGGAAATCTGTAATCCATGTTGTGTATATGCATTATTGCTAATAATGTGTGACAGAGGCTTTGGTTTGGTATTCATGTTCTCTATTTAGAATATCCTTTTTGTAAGCCTCCTTATTGTATGTAGCATCCAGCAGAATATTAGAATACGTCAGAATACCAATGCTGAATGACTTAAACAATTCCTGAATGTATATGAAACTACTACTAATATTGACAGAAGCATAAAACTCTGTAGGTAGTTTCAGTCAGTGAATTATGAATCAAACTATAAATCTGATTTTTAAAACCTTTTTTTTAAATACAGGGTTCATTTAAAATTAGTATTCCAAGTCTAGACAAAACCCTCTAATAGATTATAGGAAGCAACTTTGTTTTCCCAGGTATACACAAAATAACCGAATAAATCTGTCCCATCTCTAAGTTGTGTGGTTCTGTGATTCAAAAATCCTTGTGCTTTTTTTCCTTTTGGACCATACATCACTGTGTCTTTCTGAATAACTTGATTAAGAGATGTTAAATATCCTTTCTCTGCACTGAATCTATCTGAAACAGGCAATTGCCAATTCCAAGTCTGTTTGTATTCTGTCTCTCTAGCGCAGGATTTGAGAAGCCTATATCTGGAGCTCCAAGGGCACTTGGAAAAAATCCACTTTCAGCAGGAAGACATCCAGGCACTAGTTGCCAGTCCTAATGCTTTTATTCAGCAAACTAAACTTCCTAGTGTTAAGGACTTAATGAGCTCTGTTTTCATAATACTGTATCCTGAATTCTGGTAGGAATTAGTAACAATAGTGAATTAGTTCCTTTTAACAACTTGTAGAAATTAAACAAACCTCAGTGGGGCAAGACGTTTTTCTCACTAGTGGTTGTTTTGTCTTTGTAATTTTTATTTCTTCTTTGCTAAATTGCACCATGACTTTCCAGTCTGAGGCCCCGAATTATGAAAACACAAGTCCATCCCTATGAAGTAAAACATTTAGGAACATGTTTAAGTTTCATTGACTTCAATGGGACTTAAGCATGTGCTTAAAATTGAAGTCGTGCTCAAACACCCTTCCGGAGCAGGAATGTTTTTCTGAATTGGAGCCTTCAGCACACGCTTAAGGGTTCTGGTAAATCAGGGCGTAAACACAGAAAATGAACATTTAGAATGAAAAGAATAGCAGTGGAGAAGGACCAAAGAAGACACATGAGACAAAACTAGTGAGAAGAGTGGTATAGTTAGGGCCCTACCAAACACACGGCCATAAAAAATGCATCACAGACCGTGAAATATTATCTCCCCCCATGAAATGTGGTCTTGTGTGTGCATTTATCCTATGCTATACAGATTTCACGGGAGAGACCAGTGTTTCTCAAATTGAGGGTCCTGACCCAAAAGTGAGTTGCGGCATTGCCACCCTTACTTCTGTGCTGCCTTCAGAGCTGGGTAGCTGGAGAGTGGTGGCTGCTGACTGAGGGCCCAGCTCTGCAAGGAGCAGTGCAGAAGTAAGGCACTGCCTTCAGAAGTAAGGGTGGCAATACCATAGCATGCTATCCTTACTTCTGCGCTGCTGCTGGCCTTCAAAGCTGGGCTTGGGCTCTCCAGCTGCCAAGCTCTAAAGGCAATGCCGCCACCAGCAGCAGCGCAGAAATAAGGGTAGCAGTACCGCAACCCCTTCTACAATAACCTTGCAATCCCCCACAACTCCGTTTTAGCTCAGGACCCCTATAGTTACAACACTGTGACATTTCATATTTAAATAGCAGAAATCATGAAATTTACAATTTAAAAAATCCTATGACTGTGAAATTGACCAAAATGGACCGTTAATTTGGTAGGGCCCTAGGTATAGTGGAAACAAGGCAAAAAGATAGAAAGATAAAAGCACAGACATCCATAGTAATGGGAAAATTAGAGTCTGATCAATAACCCATTGAAGTGAATGAAAGGATTTCCATTGACTTAACTGGACTTTGGACACACCCTGAATGTATAAAGGAAAATGAAATTAAGTATAAAGATAAAAATAGACGGACTAGAAGTTTTTCATTGAAACTTAGCTACAAGAAGGTAGACCGAAAGGAAAAAAGAGCTGAGAATGTAAATAGACATTTCTTAACCATACGCCAGTTTTGATTAGATTTTTATCTATGATAGTATTTTTCTGTGATTGCACGTTTTCCTCTTCTTAAATTTGAAATAATCCAACTACAGATAATATAACTATACATACAAGGGCAATATAAAAGTAGAATTGGTATAAAAATATATAATAAAGATACATAGACCATCCTTTACATTCATTTATGGTGCTGCAGTAGTAGAGTAGTCAATACAGAAAAGGTGAATCTAATGGATGGCAACATTTTCAAACTTTGGTACTTAAAACATGCTGAGCCTGGTGCAGGTGGGACTGGAAGAACGGAAGTGCCACCCCTTGAACTCCCATCCACAACACCCATCCCTGTAATTGCCTAAATCGCCATCTAGAAAACATAGTTCAGCTTACTTCCAGCAGTTCCCAGGCCTGCACAAGCAACTGGAACTTGTCTCAACCAAAATCAGCCATGATTTCTTCCTGTGACCACTATCATGCGTTCCTTTGCAGCCACAAAAGATTGTGAGAGTAGAGTAATGACAAGAATTCAAACTAAGCTACCACAATGATTTATTATTATACTGGGTGTTCCAGGGCAAGAGAGTATTAAAGAAAATAGAAAAACTTTGGCATTGCCATTCACTCTACATTAATATGAAGTGCATGAGAGAGGGCGTAGTCCACACCTCTGTTTGGTTAGAGACAGTTGTCTGCATGGTTGCGATAGTAAGGGAAGAAGTACATGCAGTAGTGCTGGCTGGGAAAGTTTGTGAATCCTTTTACTAATTTTGAAGTAATAAAAAGTTTGTTGAAATGACCTTTTTTGATACCTTTTTCTTGTTCATTTTTATTAAGGATTATTTTTTAATATAATAGTATTTCTCAGTTTATAAAAAAAATCAATATATTTCAAAATCTTAAATCAGAATTCTTGTATGAACAAGACAGCCTAGGTCCCATGAAAATTACAATGATTAGAAATCTTGTTATAGATCTGGGAGTGCTATTTCTTTGTTAGCAGCAAAATGTATAATCAGTCCAACTAAACTAACAGTCCAAGTTTACAAGCAGAATGTAGAATCTTTACCATCCACAGCGGAAGCTATAGTGTCACAAATTTGATATGATTTGTCTCAAGAAGCATTGATCTCACTAATTATGTAACATCTCTTTCTGCCCAGTGTACGGATCTACATTTAAGCACCAGATTATCTAAAGAATTTAGGAGATCAAGTCTGTACATTATAAGTTCTTCGAGGCAGGGGACTATTGTTTTGTTTTGTGTTTGTACATTGCCTAGCACAGTGGGGTCCTGATTTATGAATGGGGCTCCTAGGTGCTAACACAATACAAACAAATAAATAAATTAATAATTGTATAGCTAGATGATAAATTAAAATATTGGGTTTTATTTTGTTTTGAAAGTGTCATAAGTTATATTTACTGCTACTTAATGATATCTGACTGTCTTTAGATTCACTAGTATATTTTTTCTGTTTCTCTCCCATGCCCCTTTGAAATAATAATGTGGCAATTTCCAGAATCAGTTAAATCATGAAAGAAGTCTTGCCAGGAAATCCTCCTCTGGGGAGGAGGAGAGAAGTCCAGTTATCATGCATGAAAAAAGAAAGCTTGAAGTAGAAGGTGGTTCTGGAGTTTTGTATTCTGAGGCCATAAATACAGCTACTGTATCTACAGCAAATGGAAGTCAGACTGAAGGCAGTGAAAAAGAAGTCAGCCATTCAGAAAGTAGCGTTGATGCAGACAGCGAAGCCTCAGAAGGTGAAAGTGCTGCTAAGCGAGCAGTTACTGGTAGATCCAGTAACGCATCTGGTTTGCACGTTGACGGGCTTAACCACTTGGTAAACATTAGACTGCCACACAACAAACCAAGTGACAGTAATAATGAGATGATCACCAGTGCCATATCCAAGCTCAGCTTCAACAGTATTGTCAATGAAAGCGAAGAACCCGTCAGTGGGGATCCATCATTAAGTTTGTCAAACAATTCCATGTTTTCAGTGGAAAAGTCCCCTTTGTCCCAAAGCCCTCAAAATGCTTTTCAGACTCTTTCTCAAAGTTATATAACTAGCTCTAAAGAATGTTCTGTTCAGTCCTGCCTCTACCAGTTTACATCTGTGGAGCTGTTAATGGGGAACAACAAGCTTTTATGTGAGAATTGTACAGAAAGGAAACAGAAGTATCAAAAGAAAACTCACACCACAGGTAATGTGCTAATATTGTGTATATGTGTTATTCATTTAAACAACTCTCTTTAACACGCTCAGGGGGTCTGCCCTGGGTCCAGTACTATGCAATATTTTCAGTAATGACTTGGATAATGGAGTGGAGAGTATGCTTATAAAATTGTGGATGACACGAAGTGGGGAGGGGTTGCTAGCACTTTGGTCAGGATTAGAATTCAAAACAACCTTGAAAATTGTAGAATGAAGTCTGAAATCAACAAGATAAAATTCAATAAAAAGTGTAAAATGCTTCACTTAGGAAGGGAAAAAACCAAATGTACAACGACCAAATGGGGAATAACTGACTCGGCAGTATTGCTACTGAAAAGGATCTAGGGGTTCAGGAAAAGGCTAATATCATTCTGGGTATATTAACAGGACTGTTCTATGTAAGACTGTGACATTTCGGGGTGCAATCCAGACCAGAGAGAAGTTATGTCACAGCCTGCCTGGTAACTCGGAGTGCCTTAAATGGTCTGCTGCTGTGGTTCACTGCCCAGATACCAACAGCCAGCGTACAAGTCTGCACTGAGTGTCTGTGTGCTATGGAATTCTGGTTCAATGCTCTGTCCCTAGCAGCATGCCTACAGCACAACAGTTTTACCCTGGTCTCCACCAGCCTTGGTTACCATCTGCTCGCTGTGTTGGAGCTCAGGGTGAAACTGTTGTGCTGTAGGTAGGCTGCTGGGGTCAGAGCACTGAACCAGAGCTGCAGAGCGCACAGACACTCAGTGCTGGCTTGTATGCTGGCTTTTGTTGTCCGGGCAGCATAGTTGCTAGGGGTCTTGCAGCCCTTGCTTGAAGTAGTTTCCATCATATACAGGGTTTACAGTTTGGTTCAATGGCTCACAGCCCCCCACTATACAAATTGTTCCAGCACCCTGTTGGGCAGTGAACCACAGCAGCAGGGCATTTAAGGCACTCTGGGTTACCGGGCAGGTAGTTACACAACCTCTCACTGTTTCTGGATTGCACCCCGGAATTTCACATTGGTGTAATCAAACAGGATCTTCACACAGCTTGTTATTTTAAGTGTGATTTACACTTTCAGAACTGGTGAAATAGTTTTAAGTAATTCTCAAGTGAGAAGATTGGGATCAATCAAGGGAAGGTTACAGTATCTCAGATTATAAACTTAGACTTGTACATGTGGACCTTTGTCCCTCCCAGCATCCTGCTGAATAGGCACATAAGAGTCCAACCATTTTGATCCCTCTGTAGAATCAGAACCTTAGTCTTGTCAACACCAGTATTTATGAATATAAGAACTAAATTCAAGACCAGTATTAAAATGCTCAGCTTTTACCACTGACATGTCAGTGTCTCTTCTGAGCAAGTGTCTGAGCCATTGATTGCTGATCTATAGAACAGAGGTGAATGGTGTTTCTTTGCTAACTTGTGTGATGAGAGATCATAATAGTGGCCAAGAGTGGATAAGGTCATGTGTTAAAATAATACAAAACAGAAAATGTTCTTCCTTTCACTGCCATTCCCACCAAAAATTCCACTTGTTGTTTCTTGGTGTTATGTTCCTAAATTCACTAAGTGAGTATCACATACAGAAAGTATTTTTGCTGGCTGTAAACAGTGAAACATGTTGAACTGATTAAAAAAGAACATTAGAAACTAGATTTCTCTCTGTGCACGTGCCTTTCAATAGTTTTAAATAGTCTGTGTGATCACTTTGATATTTATAAATTATTGGATTGTTTTATAATTCTTCTACTATGTGCTGCACAGAAAAGAAAACCGATGGCTTATACACTAATGCCCGGAAGCAACTGCTGATTTCTGCGGTTCCTGCCATTCTTGTTCTCCATCTGAAAAGATTCCACCAGGTAAAAGTAAAAAAATCTGTTCTTTTAAAATTCACTCATTAAAAGAACTTGTTGTAACAGACTGTCTATACCTAGTAGAGATGTACAGAAGTGGCTTTCACACTGGGGTATGCTAAGGGTTTTTCGTAGGACTGCTTTTTTTTCCTCTTATTTAAGAAAGAAGGTACAGTGGCAGCAACCTCTTGGCTACTGCCATGTTATTCTGGCCATGTTAGTTGACTACTGAAGAGAGACAGCAGTCTGCAGCATAGGGCTGTGGGTTTGAGCACTAGCTGCTAATACTGCATCTATTAATTCAGACTCTACTTGGGGCATATTGTTGGTTCATTCAATGAATGGGGGAGACAGTTTTGGGAGATGCCTCACTTCCCTCAGTAGACCACAGGAAGAGCCAGGTTGGAGATGTTGGGGGAGCCCCATGTGTGAAAGATGGAAACTGGGTTAAGGGGAGGCAGAGCTGGCCAAAACTCAGGATTCTCAGTTCTTGAGAAGTATCGGTATTTTGGAATTTGGTTTCATTACAAATTAGAACAAAACCAAATTTTATCAAAATGTCTTGCAAATCCCTCAAATTTTGTTTCGGAGATATTAGACCCGCAATAGAGGTCTCCCTACGGGATGACCATAACTCTTCATTAATAATTTTTGGCCACAGCCAGGCCATTGGTGCTTTTCTTTGCTTCCCTGTGTTGTGTAACAGCATTCTGCCTTTCCAGTCTCCCCTCAGAGTGGCTTGATCCCAATTAAACTCCATATATTTCTTCCATCCTGCAATTCGTTGATTCCATATATGAGGCTCTTTGAACCACTCAAAAGGCCATTGCCCATTACTTAACAGATTAACCATTCTCTCTATGTATTGTATCCCATAAGTTTGCATCTGTACACATCGTGTTGCTAGTACAGTTTTATTGTCAATCTCAGACACACCAAACAGATTTACATTTAGAGACATTTTCAAGGCTTGGGCTTGTTTCAATTGGAGTTCCACACTTCTTATTACTTGTTCCGATAATGCACCAAAATTTTGTGTCATGTGTCTGTATAACCCCCAAAATCTTACTCAAAGCTGACATTTTCCCTTGTAACGTCTCAATATCAAATGAGTTTAAAGCTCCAGCACCAATACTACCTACAATATAGTCCCCTATACCTCTCATTTTGTATAGTCCCGTCTCCCTATTGTTGTTGCCACACTTGTAATAGAAGCAAGGCATATGGCATACACTCCGAATGTTCCCCAACCCACATGGTGAATCTGAGGCAAGAAAATCCGCCAATAAGCGCAGGACCCACCAAGATAGAGGAGGAACTTTGTCACAATATGCAGTATGATGGTGTTTAAGAATAAATATCATTTATTCACATTCTACTTTTTCCATGGTACCCTGTCTCCATTGCACAGAATGGTCACACAAAGGGGCAGAATTCAGGTTGCACAGGAAACCAAAATAACTTTTCTGTACCATAGGTTTTTTTTGTATGTAATGTTGAAGAGATGAAAAACAAATGTATAGAAAATGTGTTTTATCCACATTCATTACAGATTTTGTATTCTGTTTTGTCTTATCAGGTTATTTTAGTACTGAAGCAATACACTTAGATTTAAAAGGCAGCTATGTAAAAATGTTTCTTTCATACTCTTATTTTCTCTTGAAGGCTGGTTTGAGTCTCCGGAAAGTAAATAGACATGTGGATTTCCCACTGATTTTAGACTTAGCACCATTTTGTTCCGCTTCCTGCAAGGTACAGTATATTAAGAATACATTTTAGAGTCTTTATTTTAAAGCATTAATTTATTGTAGTGTAACTTTTGCAGCTATGGATACGAGTTAAACTCTGATTTTCACCCCAAAGAAATTACAAATGAATGTGTTCAAGCAGTAATCTAGGATCAGTTCTTCAACTGGTGTAAACTGGCATAGCTCCATTGAAATCAGTTGAGGAGGATCTGTCCCACTTAATGTTTTAAAATGAACACAATAGCATTACAGCTAATTATCAGTGCTTCCAACAAAACTGGATTTAGTTATTGAACTCTGAATAACAGTCTTCACTTCTTTCTCAAGTTACTTCAGCATTGCAAAACATACTTAACAAACTACAGTACTTATCCCCTATTTGCTCCCTTTATTGTTGTAATATTTGAAATGTGTTAACATACATATTGTTACAAAAATCCACTATGAAATGATACAATTCATCTTTATTTTCTGTGATTTTGTGAATAAGAATGTTACAGATGGAGCAAGAGTTCTGTACGCTCTTTATGGAATAGTGGAGCACAGTGGCTCAATGCGAGGCGGTCACTATGCAGCATATGTGAAAGTCAGAACACCTTCCAAGAAATTATTGGAGCACATTGCTAGCAATAAAAATGTTCAAGGTATGTCCGACAAACCCTTCTCCCTTTGTAAGGAAACAAAATTGATCATTGGTACCACTCCTCCAGTCACTGTACTTATATTGAGTAAACACTTTGGCCTTGAATCTTCTCCTAATTTGCAGTGCCACACAAGTTGTTAATTTTTGTTTTAGTAAACCCAATATATAAACACTAATTTCTATGCCACCTACTCTCTACCTGTGGAATACCAAGTCATCTTCCTGTCTTCACTGAAGTCTCTCCTAAAGGCTCACTTCTTTCCCAGTGCCTGCAAGAAGTGAGTCAGTAACAGTTTTTAAAACAAGTTATTTCCTTCTCTGGGGATCTTGTCTCTTCTGTGTCTCTTAGGCCTGGTCTACACTAGGCTTTTATGTCGAATTTAGCGCCGTTACATCGAATTAACCCTGCACCCGTCCACACCACGAAGCTATTTAGATCGACATAGAGCTCTCTTAAATTCGACTTCTGTACTCCTCCCCAACGAGAGGAGTAGCGCTAAATTCGAAATGGCCATATCGAATTAGGCTAGGTGTGGATGGAAATCGACGCTAATAGCTCCAGGAGCTATCCCACAGTGCACCACTCTGTTGACGCTCTGGACAGCAGTCCGAGCTCGGATGCTCTGACCAGCCACACCCCGGGAAAATTTGAATTCATTTTCCTGTCTGGGCAGTTTGAATCTCAGTTCCTGTTTGGACATCGTGGCGAGCTCAGCAGCAGTGGCAACGATGCAGAGCTCTCCAGCAGAGATGGCCGTGCAATCTAATAGAAAGAGGGCCCCAGCATGGACTGATCGGGAAGTCTTGGATCTCATCGCTGTGTGGGGCGATGAGTCCGTGCTTTTCAGAGCTGCGCTCCAAAAGAAGGAATGCAAAGATCTACGAGAAGATCTCGAAAGCCATGGCAGAGAGAGGATACAGCCGGGATGCAACGCAGTGCCGCGTGAAAATCAAGGAGCTGAGACAAGGCTACCAAAAAACCAAAGAGGCAAACGGACGCTCCGGATCCCAGCCACACACATCCCGTTTCTACAAGGCACTGCATTCCATCCTAGGTGCGGCCGCCACCACTACCCCACCCGTGACCGTGAACTCTGAGGATGGGATATTGTCCGCGGCCGGTTCCTCGTCGGACATGTTAGCGGACGGGGAAGATGAAGAAGGAGATGAGGAGGACGAGGCAGTCGACAGCGCTGGCACCGCTGATTTCCCCGACAGCCAGGAGCTCTTCATCACCCTTACCGAGATCCCCTACCAACCGTCCCCATCCCTTACCCCGGACACTGAATCAGGGGAAGGATCAAGCAGTAAGTGCTGTAAACATTTATTTTTAACAGAACTGAAGTATTGACAATATTTAAAATGGCTAATTTCCTAAAGTGCTTTAAACATATAAACATTTATCTGCTACAAAACTGGAATATTTACAATATCAACAAAGGGTTTCTCATGATTTTTCTGACTTGGGCTCTTCACTATTTAGTCCCAACTATTTAAAAAATTTTTTACAATGTCCGGTTATTCATGATTATGCAGCCCAAGACGCTCCACTCTTTAGTCCCAGTGCACCTAGGCGAAAATGCGGTCAATATGGCCGGGGATAGAGGAGAAATCCTCATAGGAGAACTCCTCGTATGTCTCATGCAGGTACAGTTCGAGCCTGTTTATCAGGTTCCTGGGTAGGGCGATCTTACTGGGCCCTCCGTGGTAGCACACGTGTCCCCACCACGCCACAATCAAGTACTCCGGGATCATCGCACGGCAGAGCATGGCAGCATACGGCCCAGGTTTCTGCATGCTTTCCCTAAGCATGCGTTCCTTCTGGGTGTCCGAGATCCTCAGGAGGGTGATGTCGCTCATGACGCCCTGCTTTGAATTAGGGAGGGGAATGTTAGTATTGGGACTGCTTTACAGCCACGCGGTGGAGGGACAGGGGCAGCATACAGGGATCTTTCCCTGGGACAGCCGCGAGGGGGTGGGACAGGGGCAGAGTTGATGCTGTCCTGATTGCTGGCAGCAGAGACTGGCATTGCTTTCAATGTGAAAGGAGGCCAGTGCTACTAATAGAGTTTTAAGCAGCCACAAGTCTACGGCTTACCATGATTGCCCGCTACAGAAGTTCAGGTCTCCAGCCACGCTTCTCAGATCACTCCAAGACCACCGCAAGTCCACAGGCACTGAAGGCGAGGGCCGAAAATTCGACCTTGTCCTGAGTGCGCATGTGAGAGGTGCAGTGCATGGTCTTGTTCACAGAGAAAGACTAGGTTCTTTGTGTACAATTTCATTTATCTGTCTCAGGAATTCACTCCCTTTTTACAATTCACACAGACACATCTGCGACTGTCTCCCAACCCAGCCTGTCATCACACTCCCAGAGGCTAGCGCAGATTAGGCGGAGGAAGAAGACGCGTGAAGACATGTTCTCAGAACTAATGGGCTGCTCCCGAGCCCAGGCAGCCCAGCAGACACAGTGGAGGGAGAACTTGTCACAAATGCACCGAGCAGTCATGGAACGGGAGGAGAGGTGGCGGCAGGAGGACCAACAGGCTACTGAAAAGCTGCTTGGACTAATGAGGGAGCAAACGGACACGCTCCGGCGCCTTGTGGATGTTCTGCAAGACCGGAGGCAGGAGGACAGAGCCCCGCTGCAGTCTATCTCTAACCGCCCTCCCCCGCCACCAAGTCCCACACCACCCTCACCCAAAGTCCAAAGAAGGAGGGGCGGCAAGGGCCGTTAAAACTTTCAGTCAACCCCTGCAGACTGCTCTAGCACTAGAAGGCTCTCATTCCCCAAAATTTGAAAAGTCCTTTCCTACCCACCTCACACAAGCCCCCGTCCAAGTTTCACCCCCCACGTTTCATGTGTGGTTCATAATAAAATATTTGTTCCTGTTCATTACTGTTTCCATCCTGTTCTTTTGGAGGAGAGTGTGTCTGAAGGGGGGAAAGGGGCTTGGTAATTGGACAGGACAGTTACCTTTAGCAGGGTACAGAGGCGGGGTCAGGTCCAGCATCAGGTCACATACACAGTGCAGTCACTGGTTACCCTGATCAGTCTTGGAGGTGGTTTTCATGTTCTGGGGGGGGGAGGGGGGGGTTGCTCTGTGACTTTGTGGCGGTGGAGGGCAGTTACAGATCTTATGCAGCGGTCCTTATCCTGGCTCACAGATCCACGCAGCAGGGGATCTGTAACCCTACCCCCCCTGCCAGAAAGTCACATAGCCGACACATACACGCAGTCCCCCCCAGGAGTGCTGGCAGGCTCCATTGAAATAACCAGTGCACCAGTGCGGAGCCTGTCATTCCGGGAGTTTAGAAGCATCATTTGCATCAGAACACTAAACTCGCCCCCCGCCACAGTCTGCGTCCCCGGTTTAAAACATTCCCGCGAAAACAGCAATACAGACAACGGTGTTCATTAACAAAATAGAACTGATTTTATTTTTTGGGAAGGGGAAGGGGGTGAAGGGGGTATGTAACTGGAGAAGATAGTCAAAATGAACTGGGTAAAGAAACGGGGGCAGGTTCAGCTTTTCTGTCCACAAACTGAAAAGTCACAGGTTTCCCTGCTCACTCAGGAACCTAGCTTTCAAAGCCTCCCGGATGCACAGGGCGTCCCGCTGGGATCTTCTAATCGCCCGGCTGTCTGGCTGGACGTAATCAGCAGCCAGGCTATTTGCCTCTACCTCCCACCCCGCCATAAAGGTCTCCCCCTTGCTCTCACAGAGATTGTGGAGCACACAGCAAGCTGCTATAACAATGGGGATATTGGTTTCGCTGAGATCACAGCGAGTCAGTAAGCTTCTCCATCTCCCTTTGAGACGGCCAAAAGCACACTCCACCACCATTCTGCACTTGCTCAGCCGGTAGTTGAACAGTTCTTTTTCTGTGTCCAGGGCGCCAGTATAGGGCTTCATGAGCCAGGGCATTAGCGGGTAGGCTGGGTCCCCGAGGATGACTGTAGGCATCTCCACATCCCCAAGAGTTATTTTGTGGTCTGGGAAGTAAATACCTTCCTGCAGCCGTCTAAACAGACCAGAGTTCCTGAACACGCGAGCGTCATGAACCTTGCCCGGCCATCCGACGATGTTTGTAAAACGTCCCCGATGGTCCACCAGTGCTTGCAGCACCATTGAAAAGTAGCCCTTTCTGTTGATGTACTGGCTGGCCTGGTGGTCCGGTCCCAGGATAGGGATGTGAGTCCCAACGATAGCCCCACCGCAGTTTGGGAATCCCATCGCGGCAAAGCCATCTATGATGACCTGCGCGTTTCCCAGGGTCACTACCTTTGAGAGCAGTACCTTCACGATTGCGTTGGCTACTTGCATCACAACAACCCCCACGGTAGATTTGCCCACACCAAAGTGGTTCGCGACTGACCGGTAGCTGTCCGGCGTTGCAAGCTTCCAGAGGGCTATGGCCACTCGCTTCTCAACTGTGAGGGCTGCTCTCATCCTGGTATTCTGGCGCTTCAGGGCAGGGGACAGCAACTCACAAAGTTCGAGGAAAGTCCCCTTCCGCATGCGAAAGTTTCGCAGCCACTGGGATTCATCCCAGACCTGAAGCACTATGCGGTCCCACCAGTCCGTGCTTGTTTCCCGGGCCCAGAATCGCCGTTCCACAATATCCACATGACCCATTGCCACCATGATGTCCTGGGCGCTGGGGCTCGTGGTTTCTGACAGCTCTGTGCTACTCTCCGACTTCAGGCCATCACGGCGGTGTCGTAGCCTCCTCGCCTGATTACTCTGCATCTGCCTCAGGGAAAGGTGTATGATAAGCTGCGAGGTGTTGAGAACGGCCACAACTGCAGCGATGGTCGCAGCGTGATCCATGATCGCAGTGCTGTGGCGTCCGCGCTGTCACTGACCAGAAAAGTGCGCGAACTGATTTCCCGCCGGCGCTTTCATGGAGGGAGGGAGGGCGTTAGTGACGGACGGATGACGACACATTTTTTTACCCAGAAGGCATTGGCGGCTCGACCCAGAATTCCGATGGGCAGCGGGGACTGCGGGAACTGTGGGATAGCTGCCCACAGTGCACCGCTTCCAATATCGACGCTCGCCCCGTTAGTGTGGACTCACAAAGTCGAATTACTCTCCTTAGTGTGGACACACACGTTCGACTTTGCAATATCGATTCCACATATTCGATTTAAGTAAAATCGAACTACCCTCGTAGTGTAGACATACCCTTAGATTGAAAGTTATTTGAAACAGAAGCTGTTCCATTTTGAGTCTTATACTATGCTAGGCACAGTGTCAGTATGCAAAAAATACCAAATACTCTGGTTTAGTATGAAAAGTAAGAAATACTATTTCATGGAGGATTGAAAATTTCTCCTGGTGACTCTACTGGAGTTTGAAGTGGCATCCTATGAAATAATGGAGGGAAGGAGAAGATGCCAGGAGCTCTGCCAAATAATGGCTGGGTGATTATTGGGCAGGAGAATTGGGCTGATGGGGGGGGGGGGGTGGCAGTCTGTAACTTTTTTTCATTTTAGAAAAAAAACTGCCAGTCCTTGCTAGCAATCATTTTATATTAGAAGCCCATCTCTGTACAAGGAAAAGGACTAGAGATGTATTGACTTCTTAAAAGAAAACTTAAGTCTCCACTAGTCACTTGGTTCTCTTTGAAAGTTCACAGGAGCCCAGTGGATCCTTGTAGTGTTTTTAAATTGCTATTAAATAACTGCTGAAATATTCCTTTTTCCATCTCAGAATTGATCCTGTGTACTAGACATTATCAATGTAATTCAAAAAAACCACAATGGAGGACAAGCCGCTTTTTGAGAAAAGACATGGCAAAAAAAAAAATATGACAGTTATCCAGTGTAAATACGATTTTTGTGAATGGCATAAAACAATGGTCATATTCTATATAAATATTACCTTTTACCTGCTCCTCTCATTATGACATTTTTCCAATACATATTTATTTGGTTACAAAGTAAAAAACAAAACAAAAAACTTCAACTTATTCAGTGTAAACAAATATTACATATGTTTCTAAATCATGAATAACTGAGGTGTTCAAAGGTATTTTCCCACCTCTTCTGTGAAGCACCAGTGTGCCATTTGATAGTAAAGGTATAAGCCGGTGAATAGTAACTCTTTGCATTTGCATTTCAGGTTTAAAGGAAACTGTGGGAGCATCAGCAGGACAGTGGGTGTATGTTAGTGATGTCCATGTACAGATGGTTCCAGAATCAAGAGTACTAAATTCACAAGCTTATCTGCTGTTTTATGAAAGAATATTGTAAGAGTGTTTACCGGTTTAATTTGAAAAATGGTAATGGTTATTTGGTCTATCTTACTTAAATGCTGCAGTGGTTGCAGTACCTGTAAATATTGTGCCTTAATCTGCCCTTTAATAGAAAACATACCATACTTTGACCCTGAACTTCAATCAAGCTGATTATCAACACCCCAACACTAGCTTAAAAATGTACATTTTGCCAAACATTAAAATTCCTGAACTCCCTGTATCAGCGAAAGAGAGAGTAAATGACACACAGGATGAAATCCTGGCCCTGTTGAAATCAATGGGAGTTTTGCCATTGAATTCAGTGGAGCCAGGATCTCACCCATGATTTTAAACCAGTTAAGAATGAAAATGACATTGGTAATGTTAAGTGCCTGGAATCCCGATGGACAGTAATAATGCAAAATTACTCATCTTCTGTGAGATTTAGTTCAGATCATACAAATTGCTGGGTTAGATATTTTGTCTTAAGATTTCTACAAACAAATTTGCATCATGGTATATTTCCAGACTTATTATCTGGAAAGCAGTGCTTCCAGAATGGAATGATGACATTGGACAACATTGATTGGCTAATGCTGCAGTGTAATTTCCTGATGTACTACTGGGAAAACTTAAAAATATAGCATCTACCAGTTCATGCTTCCTGATGGCAAATAGAATATTTAGGGTTTGGATTCTCTCAAAAACCCAGTTAGGTTTGATACATTTGCTCTGAGCCATCTCTGAATGGCATTATTATAGGAATTTTCTACCCTTTTAGTACCTGTGGAATAACCTTGCCGTAAGTCTGTCATTTGTAAGTCTACTGATTTAATATATAGCCATTGTATTTATTCAAATAGTTCTGTATTTTAGTAAAAACTCAAAACTGCTATACATTGGTTGTGATTACACATGTACAGTACATAGTGAGCTTGTGTGTGTGTATATATATATATATATATATATTTATATATATATATATATATATATACAGAGTTATTCAAGCACAACTGGGTAATTCTGTTACTAATTATTGGTTCTAAAAACAAATGTGTTTGTCTGTTGCTGATTACTTTTCTCACAGAAGTAATAAATGACAAATTATTTTTGCAGTGTGTGAGAGTTGGACAGTAGATGACAAATTCTGCCCTCAAATAGGTACAAGCAACAACCTTTGAAGTCAGTGGAGAAGGTGAGGAGGTCCATTGGCAGAATTTATCCCTAATACTCTAGCTGCCTAGGGTATTGTGTCTGCCACAATGTCAGCACTTATTTTTCTTGGCAGCCCCATTATTTCTGTCCCAAATGTAGTAGACTATCATTTCTGTCAGTCTTCGGCCTTATAATTAAATGGGTTATTTTAATTTTTAGGTAATCTGATAATTTATTGAAGTTAGCTAACTCATAACTAATTTCTGTTTAGCTTGCAACCCATCTGTCACAACTGCCGGTTTATTTGGTAAATAAAAAGCTTTGTGTTTGTTTCTGTTTACTGTTTCAACAGTAGAAACATTTAGTTTCATGGTGAAAATTAAGTGCCAGTCCTCCTCACCCCAGCATTCCCTACTGCGGAACTCTGAACTTCCAGTGCTGCAATTAAAGCAGCCTGCAGCTTACTGATAGCCACATCCCACCTCTTACCCCAGGGATTCAAGGTGTGAAAAGCAGCAGGAGCTACCATAGTTACCTAGCTCAGAAGTAAGGAGCAGAGGCTGCACAGGGGGACTCCATATTCCACATGCTGCAGCACAGTGTTCCATGGCAGCACACGCTGCCATGTTGATCCACCTGGCAAAACTCCAATGTGGGAGGGCAGGAGGTAAGCAGGCATAAATGTCTTAGAGCCTGTGGGCTCTATAGCAGATACAGGGGAGCTAATGGCTAGTTGCAGCTAGTTGGTCATACCTTTGTTTAGAAGAAGTTGAGGTTACAGCAGGGTTAGCTAATATATGTTGGCTAACCCAGACATTTCCCCCAGAGTAGATTCAAATTAATGCCTCTTACCTCAGTTTAGCTGGTCTCGGTCAACCCTTGTGGGAGCCTAAGGGTCAACCTCAACCACCTAAGTGAGGTAAAAAGTCTTGACCTTGGTCTACACTAGGGAAAAGGTCATGGGGAGGTTGGAGTTAACTAACATATTAGTTACCTTGACCACTTTTCCTAATCTAGATAAAGCCACACAGGGTGCAGAGAGGTGTTCTTTTCTCTCTTTCCCCCCCCCCCTTCTGTTTCTATATAGTTAGTTGAAACTCATAAGATTAATGTGGATGGGACTCCCAACAAACATGTCACTGGAATGCTGACAGAGAAGTTTCACCACTGTGACAGAATCTGCTCCACAGAACACACACCAATGGTCCAGTATTAGAACCACTGAATTTACATACATAAATCTCTGTTAACTGGCCAGATGTTCAGCCTAGCACTACTCTGTGGGATGCAAGACTGAAGGATCCAACAGCAGAGATTTTCTTGGCCCAGTCAGCCCCAAGGAGATCACTTTGCATGAGGTCATGGAGTCCTCACAGAGCTGGCCTCTGCTCCTCTCCAATCAGTTTGCACCCACTGGGTGGCCTGTCCAAATTCTGCCCCCAAGGCAATAGAAATGCCTGGGTTCTTCTGCCAGGGATCCTGCTGCAGCCGTGGCAGAAGAGGGACAACTTGCCCATTAGGGCTCAGGCACACATTTCCTTGCTTTTATGCTGCTTTATAGGCTTGTCAGCAAGAAAGATGCAAAAAAATAAAGTGAAATGATATGAAAACAGAATCTAATCCTAATATTATAAGTAGTACATCTATCCAAGATGCTTATTGCTCTCCCTGCTGGAGTTCTGGTATTGGCAGTAAAAGCGACATGAGCTAAAACACAAAAAACACTAGCAGTGTGTGGCGGAAGCTACAGCAAATATGGAGCAAAAATTAATTTGAAAGTTCAGAAAACATACTCTGCAATGGATTTATAGCTTTATATGGAGAATTATTTTGGTAAAATGAGGCCACAGACTTCAAGCCTTATGCCTCCTTCAATAACTTTTTAACTACTTAGGGCAATAGTTTTCCCACAGTAAACCTTACTCTGTTTCTTACTCCAAACAAAAGTCTATTAATAGCTCCACAGCTACACACATTCTGCATCAGGAATTGAGAGAGAAGATGACACAGACTTCCAAAGGTTCTAGTCACGTAGTATCCCATACTTGCTAAGATTTGAAACATTTTTCTAAGGACACTTTTTTCAGATAAACTGGATAATCTGGGAGCTACTAGGTTCCTCCAGCTGCCTCAGGATTCTGTGTGCATTCTGTTGCATGTTAGTTAGGCTAGTGTGAAAATGCTCCTGCCTTTTCCTACCTACCACTTTGTGCTGTATCATGAGGTTGCAACTGATGCATTTTCAAAGCCCCCAAAGATTCAGCATTTGGATAAGCATCCTAGAACAATTTTTATAGTGGGGGTGCTGAAGGTAGAAACCATGTATTTGGGTTGTTATTACTACTTCAAGCCAAGGGGTGGTTCTGCACCCCTAGTTCCCGCACCTATATACTTTTCCAAAATAATGAAGTCTCCTTCCGGGGCCTATGGTCCTCCTCCATGTAACCAAACTTTCAAGGGTAGATCATAACTATGCCTTACTGTTATATTCTTGCAGATACAAGAGGTAATATAGCCTGCTATTGCACCTGGAGTTGTTAGGGGCAGGATTCCTCTGCAGTCTTTGTAGGGGAACAGTCCTCTTCCATCTATCCCATCTTACCCTTTCCCATCCCTCCTTGCGATGTCTCCTTCTCCTCTCACTCTGACACCAATCTTTCCCTTCCTTACCCCTACTTTTGGTTATCCCTGATGTTCTCCCAGCCTCTGGAATTTGTCTGTCAGTCACCCCTCTTTTATCTCTTCTCACTACCATCCACATTTCTTGATCTACTGGAGCCTTTGGTAAGGTGCTCAACTTACAGACCTGCTACTCATACTGCCTTTCTGTGGAATGCAATATGGGTTGCAGAAAGGCCTGAGAAGATAGAGAAGCAAGTAATGGCCACTGAGCAACTCCTTTGCTGGCCAGCTGCAGGAACTTGATGGTGTGGAGGAATCCCAGCATGTGGGACAGGCAAAAAGTTCTGTCCAAAATGGGACTGTTGGCAGGTGTGAGTGTGTGTGCATGGTAACTATCCCTGTTTAGAAGGTACAGTCCCTATATTTTGCAAAAATTGGTTACCACTGGCCACCTCCAGAATTTTTAATCCTGTTTTTTTCCATAAAGTAAACCTGTTTTTTCTTCCCAAATGTCCCTGTTTGTGGATTTCAAATGTTGGCAAGTATAACAATGGTTTATGAAGTCATCAGAAGTTTGAGATGTCTTGTATATCTTTGTCACCATTTTCTTCTCCTATGGACTTTATATTCAAATAATACTACAAACTGACATTTTAAATGCTAAAGAGATTAATGTGCCTATGTCTACTAGAGAAAAAAACTCTAACTGCTCAAATAAGATTTTAACAACAGAAACTAAGCTGTTGAAACTATTAAAAACTTATTTCTGAAAAGGAAATCCCACCTGGAATGATGTATAGAGGATGGGGAGGGCAGATGGAGGAGACCTACAGCAAATGTAAAGATTAGAAAACAGGTGTTTGGATATTTAACAATTTACCACACAGTTGTGCAATGGTCTCATGAAACAGCTTTTTGTTGATATAGCAGTAGCTGTGAAATACATTTTTCACCAGCTGGTAGTTGATTTCTAGACATGCTTCTTGCCATATCTAAGTTTGTACATAGTTTTATAAATCTATACAAAAGGGACAACATCAAGTTGCAATCTAAACAGCTTTTAAGATGTGGTTAAGTAGTTTGTTACTGCATCTGAATCTCCCTGTCTATTTTTGTGGTTTTGCAATGACATTTTCACACATATTTAAAAAAAAAAAAATTCTTTCCCCTGTTGCTGTGTAAAAGACTCAGACAAACAATGGGAAACTGAAAGTGCTGTTAAGTGGACAAAATAAACAAAAAAAATCTCTAATTTTTTCCAGTTATAGTAATTTTAGGTGGCAATTGTTACAATAGTAGGTAAGACCATGTTCAGAAAGCAGTGTAATTTTTAAATTGATGGTGTCCCTGTAAGAGCAATTATTTTCTTTGCACAATATTTTGAAAAAAAAAAAAAAAAAAAAAACCTAAGAATTTACTTTGTACATGCAATAAATTAGCCTAATTATAACTGTATGTTTACACTTAGGATGACAACTTGTATATAAATTGTCAATGGAAATATAAGTATTGATAATAGAACAGAAATACAATAATATATTCTAATTAAGAATGTTTCTTCTATTTATTGCAACTTCATATTTTTATTCTATTATGTTTGTAATACAAAATATTCTGCAGTAATATTGTTTTTTAAAGAAAAATTACTGCACATCCTGCTTATGAAAGCATTTATTTTGATTACATTTATTTTTGGAGACTCTTACATGAAATCATAGTGCATATTTATAACCCCATTGTTTACAGTTGTATTAAACTCTGGTTTCTGAATTGTGTAACCTGAAATTGCAATGAGCTTTATGTGCTACTCCTAGGGGAATTCTGTGCCACTGCGCGTGCGCAGAATTTGTGTACCCCACAGATTTCTTTGCTTCCCTGCAGAAAAACAACTTTCTGATGGGGGAAGCAAAGGGAAGCCATAAGAGCGGTCATGCAACCCTCCCCAGCAGTATGTTTTGGGTGCCCAGGGCAGCCGTCAGGTAAATCACTGTGGACAGGGGGTGGGACTGGGGAAGACCCGGCTGGTGGCTCCGACCCTGCACTGGGCTTGACTGCTAGTCCCGACTGGGTTGGAGAGGATGGGACTTCCTCTTCCCCCTGCACAGTATCTGTATCAGA